TAAAGGGACAAGGAAAAAGGTAATGAAACACGGCGTAGGTCAAGCTAAAGTGGTCAATTTATTTTACATAATCCAAAACTCACAAAATTTATAAATCCAAGCCATCAAAGAAGGCCCCAAACAACAAACGTGCAGTAAACTTACGTAATATAATATGTAATGAGGTATATTGAACGATTTTCTACAAATAATGAAATTTCTCTATTAAATAGTGCAATTTATAACTACATAGAACATTTTATATCATGAGGTATTTGGTTAATATACCTAAATATGCTTACAAGATCAACATGTTATTAATAGACACATTTTTCAAATGGCAACATTGTGAACGAGTACAAAATATTAGAAGCGTAGTGCTTCAATTACGGAGGTAAATGTTGATAAATAGATTATTTAGTACTTCTATTAATATCATAGCTTCCTTAATCACGCATCGATATAAATCCAAACTATTAATAAGTTAGAAGAGAGTTATGCGTTTAATTCTAATTTGTTACAACTCGCCGTCGACCTTAATACGGTATACAAGAAAATGTAAATGCGCGAAATTGATTAAAAACCTTATATTTATTTCAATTTTAAAGGTACAATGTCAAATCCTACCGTTATAATTACTTTCGAGTTTCTTTAGAATATCGGGTAACTTATTTTATACCACAATTTTATTTTGTTTGTGGTTTATTTTGATCATATATTCAGGCACTGTTAATTTTTGGGTAATCACTATATGATAACAGCTACAACACTACAAGAGCTTCTATAATACAAACAGTAACAAACTTAATATAGTAAATCTCATTCAAACTTCATGAAAAGTTTAAAAAAGGATTAAAAGGACTCGATGACTCCGTGGCGCAGTTGCCAAGGTGTTGGCTTCGGCGTCGGGGGTCGTGGGTTCGATTCCCACACGAGACAACTATTTTTGTGACCAGCAGATAGTTTTTTCGCATCTGGGTGTTTGTCCGCGTGAAATTTATGTTTGTAAAACGTCTTTACAACACAGGATAATGTTATCCTAAAGTAAGGGCAGTGTTTTTTCAAACAAAAAAGGTGCATGCATGGAAAAATAAAACAATAATGAAATTTAGAAAAATACATTTACTATGAACTTAAACAACATAATTATGTCATGCAACACAAATATATACATAATACGTTTATATACCCGTTTCTTATGTTGGCCTAAAATACAAACAGTAGTTACACGAAAAAAAATACAAACAGTAGTTACAAAAAAAAAGTAAAACTTAACGACACATGATGTAAAAGATTCACTAGGGAATTGTCCAAACTAAATGTTTACAGACGGACTAAAAAATGATATGAATAACTAAAAAAGTTACAAATATCAAATTAAGAAAATCGTTTTTTTTTAAGACGAAATATAGTGACAGAATTGTTTTGGCAAGAGCGTAATCGTATTAATCATCGGGTTTCTTAGATCCTACATAACTTATCGTCTACTTGTATCACAAAAAACCTAAACGTATGATCATTCGAAACATATTTCGGTATTACTTTCATGCAATCATCTAGTTAGCTTTGGAGTCTGGTCTCTGGTATAACACTTATCCCCCCCTTATCTCCTACGGGTATATAGGAGAACACTTTAGCAAACGCTTACAGAAAATAACTTACGAGTAAAGAAGCAACTGTTGAGTTCACTTGCCGGTTTCTTCTCAACAGACACTGCTTTCCGAACCGGTGGTAACTTACGAACGTATTAATTTCCTTGTAAAATTTCGACGTTTCATAAGAACGCGCAAGCGTCTATGTGAATAAAGATATTTTATTATTATTATTTTATAAGACTCTGGTTGGGTTTGGGGATAAACAATAAACACATAAATATATATTGCATCTATAAAATAGCCTATATAAAAATAAATATACAGATATAAATTTCGCCTAAATAAATAGGACCCAACCAGACGAAGCCCTCGGCAGGGGAGACCAAACGGCCGAATAAAAGGACCATAATAGCCTTATCATAAAATTTCGCCTAAACAAGCATTATAAGCGGTACAAGACGTACAAAATATTGCAAAGCAGATAAAAATATGCCGAATAGAGAATGACTGTATGCCGTAGCAAATAAATATACAATGGAATCACGCTAATTTCAAACAAAACCATGATAGTTTGGTACGTGACTTAGTAACGTTGGCGATATCATCTATTTTCGACCTTTAAAATTATTTACTAAAATACGTTCAAATTATTTCGCTCGTGTCAACCATTCCCCTCCACCATTTCGCTGAAATAAACTGGCAAAGGGCCACTTCCCAAGGCGTCATCTACATAAAACTACAGGAAGATCTTATATTTCACTTAATCAGTTTGAGGCACAGTCTTTGGTGAGTTTCTTTACATCCGTTCACTTAATTGAACTACGCCTACGATATCATAATATTGTCTTGGTAATCCCCTTATTGGCGATAAATCGTCAATCTTGCTTATAATAGCGTTATATCTCAACGTTCAAATTATTAATTTCCTCTATCTTTCTCCTGGAACATAATATCGTTCGAACACGTATCGTTTTGCGGTGGCAGCCTCGGCTGTTGCACGAATGGGCAGGCCCGTCCGGGTAAGTACCACGACCTCACAGAAGACCAACTTAAAGTGGAAGTATAATACTTTCGCTCTGTTGAGTGAGGTAGCCGGAGCCCAATTTGCAAAAGGTTGTCAAGCATCTGCAACCCTCGGGTGTGGCAGATGTCCATGGGCGGCGGTGTTCACTTAACATCAGGTGAACCGTCTGCTCGTTTGATAACTTTTCGCATAAAAAAAAAACAAAAAAAGAACAATCTCGCACTGACAATAATTTACTCATTGTTAACAGATTAACTTTATCATATAATAGCACTAAGCACTCAACAGACGAGAACATTTCGCTATATACTGGATGATTGACCATTCCCGGTGCTTCTACCACAACTACAAACAGACAAACCCCACAATTCTATTGTCTAATAAAACACGAAATTCCAAATTCATTACTTAGTTTTACGCGAATATAATACATGGTTAATTGAAATTATTTTACGGATTCTATTGGAAGACATAGTTGACGTGAAACATAGATGGTAGAAGAAATGTGCAGTTTGTGATCATATATTTCGGAACGCCCCAACCACTACGTTAAATTCCCCAAAGCACAAATCGCAAAAGAACACCGATTCCTCCCAAGAATGATCCGCGAGCCTATCCCAATACAGAAGATGGTTGGGGTTCATCATCTGCTTGGGATCGCATAATCTATAAAATTAAATCCAACCACGTTAACACCGCCATAAGTTCGAAACGTCGGGACTAAAAAAAATCAAAATTGAAACGCGATAAAACCCACAAAATAGTTTCCTTTACCCACGTTATCCCAAAGTTGTTTCTAAAACTCTCACCGATCACAAGTAAAAGCGACTACGCTTGAGTTCAACGCGTCCTGGTAATAATCGCCAAGTGTTGAAAACAACGCCATCTAACGGCGTTAAACGGCACCGAAGAATACCAGTTTCGTTTCGGCTCTAGCATAGATTATACTACTAGTATATTTTCACTATTAATGAACTTATAGGATGAACTTGAATATCGGACTAAACGGATTGTCACAGTGGATGAATTAGTTAACTTAGTAATTGACGCCAAGCGTCCATCTGTATGTGAACTTCAACAATAATCTGAATTAAGCTACCATTCAATAAATTCAAGTTTACATTGTAAAAAAACATTTGTCAATTGTAAGTTTAAATCTATTGTATAAATCATTAGTAATACCTTTGATATAACATAAATTATAGATACAACAGTTCAAATTACAGTATAGAGTTTTCTAGTTCTCTCCCTAGGGAATACGTAAAACGTTTCTAATGTTAAAAAAGTAGAAAACCTATTTTTTAACTTACCGTATTGAGAAATCTCGAATAGCTTATATTATAGGAAATGTTTATTTTAGGTACAATCATCAAGCTAAACTACTTTTTACCGCTAAAAATATTTCTTAATCTAAATTTCTAAATAATAGGTCAGAAACATTACTTCAGAAATAAATGACGGACATAACTACACTCCTTGCTAGTGTAACGTCACGTGATTAAAAGTAACACGTTCTCTTATTTTGGAAGAAATAAAAAATGTGTGATTCTATCGCGTCACATTATTACACAGTTAAATATTTGATATTTAAAACAGCGGGTCCATAAACATTAAGGGTATTTCACACTCGACTATTCAAATAATTATCAGCCAATTTTTGAAAAACTTTTATTCTATGCAATTCACTATTATTTCACACACTGTTTTACTAGTCATTGCTTTGGCTTAACCTCACGATGCAAAATACATGATGACAAAAGTGAAGGCACAAAAACGTCCCAATTCCAAATGAATAGCGGTAACCAATGATATTTTACTACAGTCTATATATTGTTAACGCGCCAAAAGTGAAGGCACAAAAACGTCCCAATTGGGACGTCCCATTTTCAGTTCACGTTAGGCAGGGCGGCGAGTTAGACGCAGTGTGAAAATTTTTACAATATTCAAAATGACGTAGTGCGTCTTTAAAAGATGCACCAAATGCGACTGTAAAGTTAAAAAAGTTCAAGGTATCATATCATGTATATAATACAATTAATCCTTGATTTATTTAATAATCTAATTATTTTCCTGATATTTTAATTTAGGTAGGTTAAAAAACAGAGAAAATAAATTTTAACGAGGAAAGTTAAATTTAAATTTTAACCTTTTTGTACCATTCGACAACGTATGCTGTCACTCTATTTGGAAATAGGAAACGTTTCAAACGTTTCGTTCATGTAAACATATAACATCTATAGTAATAAAATATCATTAGCGTTCACTGTTAAACTATCTATCTAACAATCTGGTTACCTTCATACGGAACACAATTTGACGCCAAGATATACTATATTATATACATACAATACTACATTCCGTTAGAACTCGACAAAAAGTCTCTTTAAAATCGACGGGCCCTAGACGACGAGCTTACCGTTGCGCTGCACCTCGTCCGGCTTCGAGCCCGAGTGCTTCGGCGGCAGCGGTGGCAGCGGTGGTAACGGTGGCAGCGGCGGGAGCGGTGGCAGCGACGGCAGGGGTGGCAGCGGTGGCAGAGGCGGCAGCGGCGGCAGCGGGTCCGCGCGCTGCCGGCGGCTCGCGCGCCTCTTGGCGGCGCCGCAGAAGGGCAGCACCAGCAACACCAGCCCCGACATGCCGATGAACACGCCCGCCAAGTAGAACGACAGGTCGTAGGAGTTCGTCATGTCGTAGATCCAGCCTGGAACGCGAAATTCGCCCTTTTCTTAGTCAGTAAGGAGCCATCTGCGTTATCTTTTCCCTAGAGATAGCATTTCAATTACACTATAACAAAACTTTCGACTTTAACAATTGCCGAATAACTTAAATTAGTCATGACATTTACTAAAGGGACTGGAATACTATCATTAATAACGAATCTAGTGCGTGTAACAGTAACGGACAGCTAGCTAAGTATTATTTTTCTTTCAATTTTCAAATCAACAATACACCGATAAGAAAGGAATATAGCTCTCTCTGAATTTCTTAGAGTACAGAGAGTATTAGTATACTACAGTTAATTCAACTTCTTTTTGAGGTTATGGTACTTCACCAGATTTTGAAGACTCCCAAAAAGCCGAATAGAGCTCCTAACAAGTCGATCCAGTTCGACTGTTGGCGGTGGACCACTTACACTTAGCCGGTCTTTTAAACTTAGTGACCCCAAAAAAATTCGAAGACATAATTTAAATTGTATCAATGGCTCAATTCAAAAACATTGTAAAGGAACGTTTATGTGTTATAGGCTAATGTGGTATCAGTGATAATTCAAATGATAGCACACCCTGGACATGAAGTTATCGCTTCAGGCTCTTTCAACTTAACTTAAACACATTGTAAACATGTATCTTGTCAAATGATGGTAACAAAAATTCCCGCTGACTTTCTTTCGCCGGTTCTTCTCAGGTCAGTGGCTTTTTTCCGAACCGGTAGTGGCGTTTTGAAATTCAATAAGTGTAATGCTTCTATATTTAATAGAGACTGTGATAGGGCCACGCAGCAGCCTCGGCTGTTGCACGAATGAGCAGGCTCGTCAGGGTAAGTGCCACGTCCTCACAGAAGACCGGCGTAAAGTGGAAGCCGGAGCCAAATTTTCAAAAGGTTGCTTGACAACTAGTCACATAAAAAACGAGAGACATTTCAATGCAGAAAGGTTTACCCACCTCCGAGCGGCGGCCCGACCAGGTTCGCTAGGCCCTGTATGAGCAGCAGCAGCCCGTAGGCATTCGTGAACTTCTCCAGGGTGATCTGCTCCACCAGGATGATGCTGGTGAGCGAGTAGTTGGCGGCGATGAAGGCGCCGAACGCGCCCGAGACCACCGCCAGGCCGAGGTACGTGCGCAGCAGCGGCATCAGTAGGGTTGCCGCTCCGCAGAGCACCATGCACCCGGCGTACGCCAGGCTCGGGTCCACCGAGTCCCAGTCCCCGATCCAGCCGAGCAGGATCTGCGCCCGGAGGCAGCCCTCACAGGATCTGGGAGACAGCCCGGCTTCAGCGATGTGCCCAGGCTAGGTTTCAAGCAATCCCAGACCTCGACCCAAGCGAGCAGGATCTGAGAGACAGCCCTGCTTCAGCAATCTGCCAAGGCTGGTGTTCACACACTCTCAGACCCCGACCCAAACGAAAAGGAAATGATAGACAGCCCTACTTCAGCAAAGTGTCTAGGCTAGTGTTCACACACTCTCAGACCCCGATCCAAACGAAAAGAAAATGATAGACAGCCCTACTTCAGCAAAGTGTCTAGGCTAGTGTTCACACACTCTCAGACCACGACCCAAACGAAGAGGATCTGAGAGAGAGCCCTACTTCAGCAATGTGTCCAGTAGCGAGGTGGCGATTTAGCATCAGGTGACAACTGCCGCGCAAGACTATTTGAAACCGTAGGATTGCAGATGCTTTGCCACCTAATAATAAAGTGGCGTTCACGCAGTCCCATTTCCCGACCCAAACAAACAGGATCTGAGAGACCTACTTCAGCAATGTGCTAAGCTATTCAGTTTACCGTATACGCTCATATTCATTAAATTTTAAGTAACCCCTGACACAAAAAACATCTCGATCAAGTCAACCAATAATCAGACCATTCGTTAAGAAGTTAGGTCGCAGTAGATACGAAGCGAGATAGACAGACAGCCAGACAGACACGTCAAACTTATAACACCTTTTTACGTCTGGGTTAACAAGACACACACAAACAAACGTTTAACAGCAAACCGACTTACCCCTGATCTGAGATGCAACTGCATACAATTAGCAGCAATTATAGCCAGGACACACGCAATTGCCCCAGTTTTCACTTATTTCAATACGCCTGTCATCGCAAACGTAAGATAGCGGAAAACATAGGTCAGACTAGCAACGGATAACGTACTCGACCGATAAAAATTTAATTTGAAAAACAAAGAATTAATAATTATATATTAGGAGAGAATAATCGTGCATCTTCTGATAAAGGATACGTTGACGTTATAGATAACGGCAATATGGACATATGGCAGTGGTTAGCATATTTATTAGCATTTTAAATTATATTCTTTGTAGATAAATAAACAAAATGTATCGCCGCCGTGTGATTTGAACCCGCGTCTGCTGGTTACGCTTTACCAATTAAGCAGCTGTCTACGTTCTTTCTATTGCATTTTTAGCAATGCTTGACGCCATTTAAACTGCATCCTTTACAACAAAAAACATCGTAGAGTTCAACGATGAATTTGTAACTGGTTATGCCAAAGCATTAGGATCCGCAACGGCATTCCATCGATGCGAAAGATGAGAAATGTTAAGTATTAACGAGGATCGGTATAGTTTTCGCTAACTCGTCATAAATTGTTCGCCTCGAAGGACATATAAGTGTAGAACTAGCTGATCCGGCAAACGTTGTTTTGTGGAATTTTGTAAAATCCGTATTCCTACCAAATTTCAAGTCCCTACGCCTTATAGTTCCAGAGATATCGTGATGAGTCAATCATCGGTGGAAATCTTTTATGTATATATAGAAGATAAAAGGCACTTTTAGAAACCAGACACTGATCTGGTTTCGCTAAAGGCGGGAACCGTTTACCACTTACGACTCACTTGAAGACACACTAGTAATATACGGAGATACCGAGTAAACGTGTTTAATTACCGTTATCCTTCTGATATTAAAAGTTGTAATTAGGGTGCAACAGCAACAAATACAAATACCCTAAAGGAAGCACTACCTGCAAAACTGCAAAGTAATCTAAACAGAATATACAAAGAGATTGCAGAGTTTTCAATATCCTTCTTTTCACGTGCCCACCTAAAGAAGGGTTGACAAATTCAAATTAAAGTCATTTATTCATCGAAATAAGAAATATACATTTCATTTATCGATAGTCATTTTTTAAGTCTACCACCGTTTCGTAATGAGGTTCCTCTAACGGAGAAGAAACAGGCGAAAGAAACTCCGTATCCTCTTTTTTGTCATTTTTTTCTCAACAAATACATTGTTATACAGCACATATATTTTTTTTAGAAACAGCTTAGGAGCGATCATCTCATTCCCAGGGGTAATTATCGTTAATGTATTCATTTATATTATAATAACCCTTTTCAAAAAGTTTTTCTTGAATAAATTTCTTAAACCTGTTAATACATAATTTTGCACATTAACTGGAATTTTGTTGTAGAAGCGTATACACCGTCCCATGAACGAATTACTGACTATGGAATCTAGTAACTGGCGTTACAAGCTTGTGTTTGTTCCTAGTGTTTACTTTATGTACATCAGTATTCTTATTAAAATTATTAATGTTTCTATGTACATAGAAAGATACATTACATTTTCATATATATATTGAGAGACCAAGGTTAAAATATTTATAACTTTAAATTTCTCTCTCAGAGATGCATTCAAATTAAGATTGTAAATTGCACTTATGGCCCTTTTTTGCAAAATAAATATTGTTTTAACATCGGCTACATGCCCCCATAACAAAATACCGTATGACATTATGCTATGGAAATAACTAAAATAAACTATTCTAGCTGTATTTACATCAGTCAGATATCTTATTTTCCTTACAGCATATGCTGCAGAACTTAGTCTGCTAGCAAATTTGGATATATGGGGGGTCCATTGAAGCTTTGAATCAAGAGTTATTCCTAGGAAAACAGTGGTATCCACAACGCCAAACTCGTCTCCATTTATAAGTACATTGACACCACCCAAGTGTTTAACATTAGGTGTCGAAAATTTTATACATTTAGTTTTATTGCCATTTAACAGTAAATTGTTAGCATTAGATCCAGTGAACTATTTCTGACATAGCATGATTTACCTCGTCAAGTGTTACAATACGTCGCTTAATTTTAAAGATTAATGAAGTATCATCGGCAAACAACACTATGTCATGTTTTTTCCTACTAAGTAGGGTAAATCATTTATATAAACGAGAAAAAGGAATGGGCCGAGAATCGAGCCTTGCGGAACGCCCATTGTTATCATCGACCCAGAAGAACTAGAACCATTAATTACAACTTTCTGAATTCTTTTACTTAAATATGACTTAATCAAGTCAAGCGCGGTATTTAATGTCATAATGGCGTAATTTCCTGATATTTTATATATTTGATTAAGATATATTTTGACGCAATCATCGGTTGTAGAACGACCCCTTGTAAAACCAAACTGATTTTTGTGTAATAATTTGTTTAAATTAAAATGTGTTAACAGCTGATCAAGAATAAGTTTTTCGAAAATATTACTAAGAGTAAAAAGCTTATCTAAAAACTTATCTATCATGTTGTTAATGGCATTTGCTAGATTTTTACGACAACGTCAACTCTTCTTAAGAAGAAACAACAAAAATCACTTGCCCATTGTGGGAATCGACCCACGACTCACAACGAGCCAATAAGTTAGCTATTGCCAACTTCGCCACCTTGTTATCCAACAAAATATATTACTGATATAATATAATGTAATATACATTTGTAGTGACTTCTCGCCATTGGGCGAGATGGCTGCAGATTATGAAAATAGCAACAAATTAAACTTTATTATAACGTTATTAACTTTTACCTCTGTTCGCGATCAAAGTTCGCTGATTCGAACAGGGTGGCGCTGTAGAGGTGTCGTTGCGCATCTGTGCAATCGACACCCAATAAAATTTAAATCCGGACTTTAGGCCAATCATCAATCAAATGTCAATATAACCGTTAAAAATTGTTCCTCTCCCTCTTATCCTCGAATCTTGTACATTTAAAGTGATTAATCGCAATACAGTTTTCATAACGATCGCACGGTTTTTAATTCTGATCCAAAGCCTAGGAAAGTAGAAACGCAGTCAACCTACACGCACATTATTCGAGAGCATCAACAACCTCAAAACTCAATTCGAAGTTCGTAACTAAACTTGAAGATTGTACAAAAGTTGTCACGACCACAATGAAGCTGCAACACTTTTGTTTGCAAATTCATCACACGTCTAGAACATTCCGTATAATAAATGGTACGATACTACGTTATTAGCCTCTCGTAATCGTAATGATTTACGTGTACCGTATCCATAATTGCCATGATTTATCACTTTTCCTCAAACCAACGGAAGCTTCTGGTAAATAACCCACAAAGTTTACACTAAGTCAATATTTTATTCAATATTTTAAGCTCTCATTGCACATCAAAAGCTACCACCGGTTCTAAACTAGACCAGTCGAGAGAAGAACCGGCAAGAAACCCTGCGGTCTTATCATTTTTGAATTATGTAAGCAACTCTATTTCGCGATATCTTAACCACTGCAAAGTTGCCCGCGATAAGACCACACGATATTCGGAGTCGTCCTTGCAGAGCAATGCTCTATGAGTCTATGACCTCAGGTCACGGGCGTGTTACATCAATGATAAACGAATACAAGTCTCGTACTAGAACTGAAATTATTATCCCGTAAAACATCGCACGCACTAACTCATAGCCACTATCAAATATGATTAGACTTGCAATGAATATTCGACTTTTAATCCGTATACGGTATATTCGTCGACGTATAACACAATTCATTTGTAAAATTCAAATATTAATTTATTTCAGACAAATGTGTTTTTTCTTAGTCATTGAAGTATTAACTAGGTTTTTATTTACAACCCGCCGCCTGCCTAACATGGGCTCTTTGGGAACAAACACCTACCCACATACAGCACAATAATCCTAAAGCAATTCAAAAACTCATTGTAATCCGCTAAAATTCACTAAATCAAACCAAAACTTCCTAAATGAGAAAAATTTAGGACGTTTCGGTTTAAATTTACCTCATCCCAAAAAACTTCCATTACCATTTTTTTTTCCTGAATTTAAAAGAAAATATAAATTTAAAAGAGAAAGAGAAAATTCCGTCCTAAGCACGTTCAAAGCAATTTCAATATATATATTTTCCACCGATAATTGTCTCATCACGATATCTCTGGAACCATAAGGCGTAGAGACTTGAAATTTGTTAGGAATATTCCTTTCGCCAATCCGGATTTCTACAATACGAAATTCTACAAAAACAACGTTTGCCGGATCAGCTAGTAGGTCAATGAAAGCCACCATGCATACCGTATTACCGTAAAAGAAAGAGCAACACCAAAATGCAAACGGGACCTACCTCGCCGAACATGTTGAGGATTCCGATGAACGAGATGAGCATGGAGGCCTGCGACTCGTCGAAGCCCAGGCTCATGCCGTGGTCCGCTATGTACACGTACGGCACGTCGTACCACATGTACAGCAGGAAGTTGGAGATGGCGAACACGAGGAAGGCGGGGTTCTTGAAGTGAGACAGGTCTAGCACGTCCACGGCCAGATCCCAGAAGTCCCACAGGCCGGCGTACCATTGCACCTGCAACGGGCATCACACCCGACGTCGTCGCGTGAGCAAACGCCTAGGTAACTGTCCTACAGACTGGCAGAAATCAATCAAAAATTGACGGAATCTCTAGAGTGGAAGACACAAGTATAATTCACTTATGTCACACGAATTTAATGAGAACATTATTTATTGTAGACGATGAGCGTAATTAGTTTGTCTAGTCTTAGAAGAAACAGTTTCCAAAACTATGGTAGGGCCACGCAGCAGCCTCGGCTGTTGCACGAATGGGCAGGCTCGTCCGGTTAAATACTGCGACCTCTCAGAAGACCGGCGTGAAGTGCAAGTATAACACTTTCGCGTTTCGTCTGGTGAGTGAGGTGGCCGGAGCCCAATTCCAAAAGGTTGTCAACCCATCTGCAACCCTCGGGTGTAGCAGATGTCCATGGGCGGCGGTATTCACTTAACATCAGGTGAACCACCTGCTCGCTCGGCAACTTGTCACAAAATAAAATAAGTTACACTGCGTTTTAGTAAAACCTTCATATGATTAATATTATATTTCTTCGGTACAAGAATTTAAAGGATTGATATAATTTCTCACATAAATTATTCATAGTTATTCCATAGAACTATAAAATTAGCATTATTGTTGATTATAAGTACCATAAAATGAAATTGAATAAGTCTTTAGCTGTGAACGGAACATGATTTGCATTTAAAGCACTTTTAGAATTATTATGTCGAGGTCACGGTTGGAATACAATGGCGATAGATGACAATGTTTAAACGTTTCTGCCATTTTCAAATTCGATTTTAAGAATGTGGTAGGGTCACGCATTATTCGCTCCTGTTGTTGCACAAATGGGCAGGAGTAGTACCACGACCTCACCGAAGACTGGCGTGAACAGGTAGTGTTTTACTTCTGCATTTCGTCTGGTGGGTGAGGTAACTGGAGCCCACTTTATTAAAATGTCATATCGCATTTGTAACCTTAAATATGGTGAACGTTTTCATGAGGGGCGGCTATCACTTAACATCAGGTGAACCGCCAGCTCGCTTGCCACCTTCTTACATAAAAAAGGAAACATGATTATTTTCGAAATAATCACAAAAAATATTCCAAGATATGTGAAGTCCGCCATTTCGCGTGACAGATTATGTCTTGATAACTTCTGAACAGAGGAGGCTTTTGCCCATTAGTGTGAAATACATGTCCCACTACTGGGCAAAAGCCTGAAGTAAAGTAACAGCCTTTTACATAGACTGTTAGTTTACTATCACTTTACAACCTTAAAAACATCATAACGTGTCACAAGGAATTCTCACCTTTTCCTTAGCAATGGTGGTCATGGAGTTCCTGAAGATGTTGGGGCACGAGGAGGCGCGCAGCCTGTACCGGTTTATGTTCAACATGGCGCCCCGGTAGGTCAGCGAGTGCCGGTGCACCCTGAGGTCCTTGAGGAACGCCGGCGGCTTCTTGGCGCTGGCGCTCGCGTGGCGCCGCAGCCAGGCGTGCTCGGCCGCTTTGTCGCCGAGGGCCGCGGCGGGCCTGCCGGCGCCCAGGGGCGCAGGCGCCGGCGCCGGCGAGGGAGACGTCGTCGCCCTGGGCGGGGACAGTTCGTGCAGGCGGCCGCTGTCGCTGAAACTCCTCGAGGGGAGCATCACGCCGGGATAGTTTTGCGCCATTATGGCGTACGCGCGGCCCTTGTTCGACATCAGCTCGAACACCTCGAGGGAGACGCCCTCGCCGCCGGTCATGAACGTGGGGAGGTCGACTACGGAGCTAAACTGCGGCACCATCGGGGAGGGCACCGTCTCGTTGTCGCCGTCCTCGGCCGCCTTCGTCGACCCAGCGGCGCTGCTTTTGCTATCAGACAAACTGTCAGCGGACGCGGCCGCCAAACGCTTGTTCCGTTTCCTCTCTCTTCTGCGTTTCCTCTCTTTCGCTCTCTCCTCGTTCATCGTCGCGGTCCAGGGCAGATCGCGGAACAGCAAGCCGCACACGGCCATGTTCAGGAAGAACCCGGCCAGGATGAGCGTGGTGCCGCGCCACCCGTACTCGTCGAGCAGCACGTAAGTCAACGGCGCGAAAATAAACGTCCCGATGCCACTCCCGCACACCGAGATGCCGGTGGCCAGAGAGCGTTTCGTCTCGAAGTAATACGCCACAATCACGACGGCCGCCACGTAACACAAACTCAGCCCGAAGCCGGCCATGATGCCGAACGTGAGGAACAGCGTTTCCACATTGTCCACGAACGCCGATATGACGAAGCCCAGGGAGGCCAGAACGGAGCCGAATATGGTCATGCGACGGCAGCCGTATCTGTCCGTCAGAAAGCTGGCGATGGGTCCAGAGAGGAGCGGCATCGCCATGAAAATACCCGCGATCCACGCGGTCTTGCCCTTGCCCTCGCCGAAGTACTCCAGGAAGTGCGGGTAGAACACGCCGAAGCTGAACGTGATGCCGTCCGCGATGAGGTTGACCATGAACGAGGCGAAGACGACCACCCAGCCCCAGCCGCCGTCGGGGGGCCGGGCCTCGGCAATCGAGAGTTCCTCATCGTCCGAGCTCGAGCTAGAACTGGAGCTAGACACCGAGCGGTTGGTTGGCGACTGCGCGTCGAACTGCACGTGCAGGGGGCGCCCGTTGAGCTTGCGCGCGGCGGCGGCACTCTCGCCCCCCGTAAGCAAGGGCTCGCTCTCCGGGATGGAGGGCAGTGGGCGCGTCGGGGGCCGCACAATGTCCGGCTCGCCTAGGGCCTCCGCTGGCGGGGCCGCTGTGTCGGTTTCGCGGGGTCCTCCTTGGAGCGGCCGACGGTGCGCGGGCTCCGGCGGCGGCGAGGGGCGCGCGCGGTCCATCCCGGCGGGGCGCGGCGGATCAGCGCCTGCTTGGGCAGCGCTCGCTCACCAGTCCGCCTTCCTTCCATGCGGACACCACACCGCCGCCGCGACCTCATGCTGCGGACAACGCAATCGATCCGGTTAGCGATTTACATCTTTGCCGATTAAAGTTTATCCCGTCAAAACATAAATGTGCAATGAGAGCCAAGTTCAATATTATATAATACTCTCGACCCGCCCCGGCTTCGCACGGGTGGAATGTATTATACGTATAAACCTTCCTCTTGAATCACTCTATCTAGTAAAAAAAAAACGCAACAAGATCCGTTGCGTAGTTTTAAGGATTTAAGCATACATAGGGACAGACCGACAGCAGGACAAATTTTCTTTAACACTATGTAGTGATGATATATGCCTTGGTTTTTGGCTTCAAAGACAAAAGAAGTGAGATCTAAATGGGTGCCAAGTTCATTGGTTAGTCCTGAAATTTATTTATGACAACAAAATATTTTATAACAACTTGAAATATCATTTCTCCTTATAACTCAGTATAATAATATAGTATAATGAAGCCTAAGGTCTGAGGCCTTGCCTAGTTCGAATATACGAATTATTTTATAGCCTTCGCAAATTCTAAAACTGTAAGTTCTTATTTCATTCTTCCGAAAATTTGACTTGCTAATAGAAACTAGCCATCGAACATAGGGCTCCTCCATGACTTTTTAGTAAGTACTTAATTATAAATCTTTTAAATGTTAACGTGTAATAGTTTTTGAGTTATGAGGGAGGAAAAATTGGCTCCAAACGTTACGTGTAATATTTCATACGGTACCATTTGCCATTCTGTTTCAAAAATTATGAATATTTGTAATTATTTTCAATTTGTAATTAGTAATACAGGCAACCATTACAAATATTCATAATTTAAGCAATATTTTGATTTTCGAATATTGACAATTGGTTAGTCTCAATGAGCAACAGATAAGAAAGATCCTGAAAGAGACTGAATTTCGTTCTGATATTAAGTATTATTTACTATTGTAATGTACCATTGTCATTTTGGCTTACAATCGTACTTCATCATGGAAGAAACGGAAAGGAAACCCTATAAATAAACACAAAAATATTATTTGGCAGTAGAAGGACGGTACTTGGATATTTAAATTTCTCTTTTATAAAAAATAGCACTTCATTAATTTTTAAGCTTTTATTAAACTGAACCATTAGTTTCGCCGATGTTCATTAATTGCGTTGTAATTTATAATACTAAAAAGCTATTTAAAAAATTATTACCGTAGTAAAGCACCCCAACAAATAGCAATTTGCTCGCATACGTGCCAATTAAATTCCTTTTGTATTTTACCAACTGCTAATTGTAACAGAAATTTCGAAAATGGTTTTTGTTTTCATTTCGTTTTGTCGAAATGCTTGACAGCTGAGTATACTGCATATGATAGATATGGATGGAGTAAGAAAATCTTCCTATGCTGTTTTAATTTACTTTCCTGAAATTGGGCATTTGAATATATTTGTGAAAGTGAAATTTCCTTGAATCATGTCTTTCTGAACATACCCTATCACAGTACAAAACGGTATGATTATTTTTATTTATAAAATGACATTATGTAGATTGTTGTTTCGCAGCATTGATAGTATTGATAGTGGTACAGCGTGCCAGGAGGCAAATGACCCGAGCCGCTCGCGCGATGTAACAATGCCTCAAACGGGTGCCATTGACGAGTATCTAATCGAAAGCGGGGCACATTAGCAAGTAGCAGCCATTATGGGCGAAGGATGTCCAAAGTGTCCAATCGTCTTGGAGTGCACGAAGACCGCTGATCGACTGACAATGAGCGTGGTGACTTGTGGTGCGGATGTATTAATAGACGCGCGGTTGAGGCATCTCTCGGATTTATATCCCGATCGACACCGACTATTTTTTTTTGTTTTTTTTTTATGTGAGAAAGTGGCAAACGAGCTGACGGTTCACCTGATGTTAAGTGATAACCGCCGCCCATGAACAGTTGCAACACCCGTAGGGTTAAAGATACGTTGCCACCTTTAAATAAAGCGGGCCCCGGCTACCTAACTCACCAGACGAAACGCAGAAGTGTAAAACTTCTACTTCACGCCGGTCTTCCGTGAGGCCGTGGTACTTACACGGACGGACCTGCCATTCGTGCAACAGTGAACACTGTTCCGTGGCCCTACCACAGTTATGTCGTGCGGACACTAAATGAGGTAACCGCAAATACCTCATCCAATCGATCGTCAATCCAATGGATATTTGACCGCCTCTTCATTTGTTTTCTACGGCCAGACATATTAATCTATACGAATATTTCATATGGTAAAACCAATTTTTAACGTTTTGCGAGTGTCATTTTCATATTATTCAATACATAATAAGAATCGATAAACTTAAACAAAGAGAAAGCATATTGCTATGGCTACATCATTTCCTTCCATCACATGTCGTATCATCGTTTATACTCTTTTATATATATTTATTAATATTATAAAGGTTAAAGACTTTTATTTTTGTTTATTTGTAACGAATAAAGTCAACAACTACAGGACTGAATTTAAAAATACTTTCACGATTAGAATGCTAAACTATCCCTGAGTCACATACGGATAACTCTTCAACCCAAGGTGTAAAAAATAAATGTCGACCCATGCGAAACTAAGACGAGTCGTTAGTCTCATAAGAACAACATACTAGATATTAGAAGACATAACACAAAAGTGCTAATTAACGGACCTGGATATCTGATCATAAAAAATCAATGACACCAATTTTATAACTTAATATGAGTTGCATTACACAACTAAAATAAGATATTTTGATAACAATGCTTTAATTGAAAAAGAAATACCTTGGGATTGCTTTTAATTATGTTCAAGTTCCAAAAGTTACGGCACACGTAGCTAAGTCTCCGCCAAGCAGCGCTTCATACATTATAAAGTCAAGCGCAATTAAGTCTCGAGAGGCAGAGGAGCTGAACAAAAGAAGTAGTGTGCTCTCGCTGCTGACAAAAGCCGCTGGAGACGAAGAAATCGATTGTGTTGCTCATGTCGTATGAATGAAGTTCCAAATTCTATAGTACACAAAGGTTGAAACCCTTTCGCGTATTCCTGACGGGGAAAATCTGAACAAGGCACGTAAATGAAAATAAAAGATACACTGACGGAAACATAAATTGATTGAGTTGAGATATCTAATCGGCAGCAATTTTCTCATCAATATATAGATTACTGATCAAGTATAACCAGGTATAAGTGAATATTTCGAAGATATGATCTAAGTATAAGGGCATGGTCCTCCATGTATTCAAAAAATACAAAGGCAAAATTTGCCCAGTAGTTTAAAATGACGTGTAAACAGATTTTACTCTCTATAAAGACTAAAACTTCTTAAGATGTCTTAAACAAACGTAAAATCTCTTCTCTGTGCTGATAAAGAACTTACGTAGTAAAAATTTATACGACGGACGATACTCTTGGCTCCAAATGAAATTTGGAATTTTAAAGCACTCTAGAGAAATGAGGTGCATTTCGCACTGAGCATATCACCAACAAATGCAAATTAACATTCTCTCTTCACTACGCGTCGCACAAACACAAAATTCATAAACTTGAAACAAAGGGCGCTTGTCCAATGAAGCGTAATAAAAGGTGACACTGAATACTAAATGAATACTTGTACCAGCTTCAAATACGCTATAATTTACTTCTGCTCTGCATGAACCTGGAATAGCTCAATTGTTCTCCAGCGTAATTGAGTGACTTGTTAATAGCTACCAAACTGGTGTCGAGCTCTACATATGTCCAGCTACTCCTAAAATTCATCTTTACCGATCTCACAAAAGCAAAGAATTAAAAAGGCTTTGTTTGAATTTCCAACCAATTAAGTTAAGCGGCCGCAAATCGCGTGCACCAGTCGTGCTCGTTTATGTTTGTGTGAGTCAATCATAGACTCACTTTTTCAAAATTATATTTCGGATATTTTACTTTGCACCTACGTCAAATTTTCACTACTCCCAGGGTTGAGTGGAAAATAATGCTTATTAGCATTAAGTTTGCCTTTTGTTGGGGTGTAAGCGATTATGTAATTTTCAAATAAACAAATATGAAGCACGGAGATTTGTATTCATTTAAGCACCGTTGGAACGGACGTGACTTTAACTTAGGAAACAAAACTTTAACTTAGGAATATGCATAATTTTGAAGAGAGAATTTCAGATCCATTATAAGTCCCTGGACTCGGCAGAAGGCATTGTTCATGAACAAACATTTCTGTATTTCTAAAGACCAAAAACTTACAATGACCGGACAGATTTGTAACTAAGCCTTAATATAGAATATTTACCTTAACACATTAACATAGATATGAGAACATGAGTCTAATATAAATGATTATGAAGAGGTTAAAAAAAATGTAATTATTAAGATTTCTCGAAATAATGGACGAAAAGTTAAGCGCCGCAGCGGGCATCGAAGCCACTTTTTCCGGAATTGCGCCCAGAAAAAGCTTTTCCTCTGGTTTTTCAACAAATTTCAATGTTTCATCTTAAGTGCAGAGAATAGCGGTATAAAACTCTTAATTTAAAAATTGAATTATTTTATATTATTAATACGTACTGCGTGAAACATCTTATGGTAAGGGACCACCTCATTAGGGCCCGGCTAAAAATAACACCATTAAATAAATTCAGTCAATAAGAAATTGAATAGATTTGACACCAAAACTTTTCATATTGCCTTGCACCAGAACTCTTAAAACGTATTGAATGACAAATCAACTTATGAATTAAGAATAAGATATAAAAATCCTAGTAAGTCTTAATATTGGTTCCCAAATTACACATTAAGTTCACAAATAAATTTCTTTATGCCACAAAAGGAAAACTGAATCGAATAAAATGTGAACTTATCTAACCCTTTGATTTACGTTCAAGTATAAGAGATAAAATGGCGACCGTGTTTTCCGGCTGTCCTTAGGGAAATCATTTTAA